TAGCACTTGGGTAAGAAATCACTAATGTGAGTTGAGAGATCAAGCAAGGCTGGTGACAGTAATGTGACATTGTCTCTGTTTTTCTAGGTTTCTCCAGCATTTTGTTCTCAGCAGTGTTGGTCAGGAGCCTGTGATGCGGACCCATCTTCCAGGCCTGCTGCAGCAAGCTGAAATCAGCCCTGCTCACGGATTAGAAAGTGACAAGGTAGAGGTTGGCCAGACATGCTGAGAATTTATAACAGTTCACAGGAGCACAGATGGAGTCCTTCTATAAGTGTGTTCTCCTCCTTGAATACTGATAATGATATTCATGAAAGACTCCATGACAGTGACCAACTCTGACATCTTGCTTCTCCAGGTCTTTTAAACTGTTGCTGTGTGTTCTCAGGCTGTCACTTCTTTCTGGTTGTGACAATGACTTAACCTAGCTTCGAAGGAAGGCTGCCCATGTTACAATCACTAGGGTAAGGTGATACTTCAGGCATTTTCTTCCCCAGAATGTGCCCCTGCCTCAGGTTTCTCGCCACTTGACTGTCCACTATCCCTTTGGAAGCTGTGTATCATAGTTTGTTTCTGTGGAAGTCTAAATCATTCCCATCTACTAAAGGAGATAGCACTACGAAACAGTATAAAATAAATGCCTACCTTGTGATATTTTACTTAAAAGGTGCCATAGTACTGGCCTCTAAGTAAGAGTACCTGGCTGAGTGGCTCTTAAGAAGCCCACATCTGGGGCTGAAGAGGCAGCTCAGATTTTGGAAGCTGGTCTCTTCCAGAGCACCTGGGTTCGATTCCCAGCAGCACCACTCACAGTGGTTATAACTTCAGTTCCGGGCTGGAGAGATGGCTCAGTCGTTAAAGGCTAGGCTCACAACCAAAAAAAAATAACTTCAGTTCCAGGGGATTCTTGCTTCCAAGAGCACTGCATACACACGGTGTGCAGTCACTCATGCAGTCAAAACACCTATACACATAAATTAGAAAGGAAGGAAGGAAGGAAGGAAGGATCCCACACCCATGATCTTACAGGTATACCGTAGATGGTTCTCTTTCTCTTTCCATTTATGTTTAAATCTGTTGAAGTCTTTTCTTTATAAACTCTAATTTTCCTTAAAAGAAAGAGAGAGAGAGAGAGTATTTGAGTGTGTACGTGTGATTTAAGGGACTGAGGAGTGGCGCCGAGGAGTAGGGAAGCAGATGGGGACAGCTGGGGTAGGGGAACGAAGACTGTGAGTTACCTCTGTACTCTGCAGGGAGCAGAGAGGGACAGAGGAGAGCAGCCTTGGTCACAGGATGGAAGGAGAGCTTGGGTTTCCACAAAAGAAGAGATCAACCGCTGTCTCTGTGCTTATGCGACCAGCTGCCGCTGACTGTCTCTAGGCTTAGCATTGGTGTCCGTTTCTATGACTGGGCCTATTTTGAGGGGTCTCACATGTTGTGAAATAAAACATACAGCCTGGTATGATGGCCTGTGTCCAGTGTTCAGGAGACTGAGGCAGGAGGATCACAGCAGCTTTGAAACCACCCTGGGTAGCATAGAGTTCTAGGCCAGCTTGGGCTATAGAGTAAAACTTTTTCTCCTGTAGACAGGCCTTCCTAGGCCTTGTCGTTGTAATAACCCTTCTGTGGTTGCATGATTCTTGTCCTCCTCTGCTGCTCTTCCTCGTTGAGTAAATCCCTTAAATGGCCTTAGACTATCTACCTGAGGGGAACCTAGTTCTGTGTGCTGCTATAATGCAGTTAGGGTCATCGGGATGATTCCTCCTTTCCTCCAAGAGAGGCTTTCAGAGAGCTTACCATGCCCGGGAGTTCTGTCTCACCACAGACAGCATGGCCTGGAAGACAGGGGCAGCCCCACAGAAGCATCTTCAGCATAGCTCCTCTGCTCACCGGCTTCCTTCCACACCAGTATAGCTGGGACATTATATCCCAGGCTTCCTTTCTGCTTCCTAAAAAATGTGACAAATGTACATTTGTCTCCTTAAGTAGAGGTCTGTGGTCTTAAGCAAGTTAGTCTCTCCAAATGCTTACTCTTTCAAGTGATACAGTTAAAAATGCCCTATAGAAATTTATTGACTATTTATATAAGTGAACTTGAATCTTCGCACCTACCCTGTAAGGTGAGTAGGTCTTAGCTTAGTTTCTAGTGCTGCAGTAAAACACCATGACCAAAAACAACGCGGGAGGAAAGGGTTTATTTCAGCTTCCAGCTCTCAGGTCACACTGTCACTGAGGGAAGTCAGGGCAGGACCCTGGAGGCAGGAGCTGAAGCAGAAGCCACAGGGGTGCTGCTGACGGCTTGCTCTCATGCTTGCTCAGCCTGCTTTCTTATGGAACCCTGGCCCCCCTGTCCAGGATGGAGCCCGGTAGCTGTTCCTTCCATTGATTGCGATCAAGAAAACGTCCCACGGACTTGCCTGCAGGCCAGTCCGATGGAGGCACTTTCTTCATGGAGATACCTCTTCCCATTTGACTTCAGCTCCTGTCAGATTGACAACCCCCACCCCCTCCAAAAAGAAAAGAAAACCCTGCTACCCAGGACAGTAGACTTCGTCATTCACTCTGGATCAAGGAGCTAGTGAAAAGTGGTGCTGAACTTCAACCCACGAAGCCTTGCTCTGGAGACTGGTTGTCCTGACCGCTTCACAGTGTCCCTAGCTGAACTGGAGACCCATGAGACGTTTCTTTCTTCCGTGTAGGTCATCATCAGCATTGTAACCGGTCTCCCTGGCTGTCACGCCAGCAAGCTCTGTGCTTTCCTGGTCACTCTGCACAAGGAGTACGGCAGGTCGGTACGGCTTCTGCTTTGGCCCTGGGGAAAGAGATGGTGTGCCCAGCTGCCCTGGTGTAGGGGAGCCTTAGACATGCGCTGCCATTTGGTGGGACATTGTTGGCACAGAAGTCATCCACCTCCTCCTCGTTAGATAGAGCGTGCTTAGTGCCTTGGTTAGTAAGTGTTGACAGGTTAACCAGATCCTCACATCTAGTGGTTTTGTCCTATAAACGTTCTTTTTATTTGGGAGGTAGAGTCTCCTGTAGTTCAGGCTTGCCTTGAATGTGCTGTAGCTGTAGCCGAGGATGACTTTGAGCTCTTGACCCTTCTGCCTCCACCTTCCAAGTGCTATGTTATAGGCATGAGCCACCACACCCAGCTTTTGTGTGTGTGTGTGTCTGTCTGTCTGTCTCTCCCCTCCCCATTTCCTCCCCCTCCCTACCTCCTTTCTCCTCCCTCTTCTCCCTCCCCCTCCTCTGTTTCTCCCCTCTCTCTCCCTCTCATGCTCCTTCTCCCCACCCATGCCTCTGTCTCTCTGAGATGGTGGCCTCAAATTCATTGGAAGTTCTCTGCTTCGCTTCTTGAATGCTGGCATTACTGGCATGTGCCACCATTCCTGGCTCTTGTTCTAAAACATTCTGAATTTTTGACCTTACCCATTTCCTACTAGTTTTACCAAGCATGAAACTAAAGCTATTTTATTCAGGAAATCACTGTCAGGTCAGAAGTCTTTCTCATTGCCGAGGCTTTCTGACTATACATTACCTGTCTTTTTTCCTGGTGGATGGAGATTTCCTACAAAAGGTCCAAGGATCTTGGTTTTGGGATAGTGGGCTTCTAACCCAGCTAGAGGCTGCTGCCTTTTTCTGTGATGCTACAATAGCTCTCTCTCCATAGATAGTAGCATGTCTTTGAGAGTACTGTTCATATTTAAATCCATGGCTGAGCTTCTCAGGACCAGGCCATATGTAGCCTTATGCTAAGATTGCCTTTGCTGTTTCCAGATGGATGGTGTACCGCCAAATCATGGACAGCTCTGAATGTTTCCATGCTGCCCATTTCCAAAAATACCTCTCCAGTGCCCTGGAGGCCCAACAGAACCGCTCTGCCCGACAGTCGGCCTACATCCGCAAGAAGACCAGACTGCTGGTGGTGTTACAAGGGTGAGTGATGGAGACTGGGGATGGAAGTGAGTATGGGGACCTTTTCATTGTTGTTACCTTGTATGTGCCCTAATGCTAGCGGCACTCCTCAGAAAGGCCAGGATGCTATTGCCATACTATGGCTAAGGTAAACTGATAGCTACACATGTTTTGATTTTGGCTTCCATATTGTAGTATGTCCAAGAGGTGAGGAATTAGAGAATCTGGTAAAGATTCTACAGTAATTCGTAGAGTGATTCATAATAGTCTTTAAACCTTGTCATCTAGATATGGGAGCCTCGTCTGCCTTATTCTGAAGTCCCTATAAGTACCATTATTGTCAGAGAAAAGGTGGATTCCTGCCCGTGCCCGTGTGTGTGTGTGTGTGTGTGTGTGTGTGTGTGTGTGTGTGTGTGTGTGTGTGTGATGTAGATGTGTATGTATGAATGTGTGCCCTGTGTACTCATCACCCATGGAGCCAGAAGAGGACATAGGATGTCTTTGCATCTTGTATCCTTGCTGTCTGTCTGTCTGTCTGTCTTGCTCCTTTGAGTCAGCATTTGTCACCGACACTGGAGCAGGGTGGCAGCTCCTGTCTGTCTCTCACAGCACTGGGGTACAGGTGGACACAGCCATGTCTTGCTTTTCTTTCACCTGGGTGCTGGGGATTCAGACTCACATCCTCATGTTTGCAGAGCAGATGCTTTACCCACTGAGCCGTCTCCCCGGCTGAGAAGGGAGCTTTGGCAGGGTCTGTGCCACTGCCCTGGGCACTCTGTTCACCGGCCTTCCATGGAGGAACGCCTCACACCTGGACCTTCATCACCGGGGCCCAGAACAGAACAGAACAGGGGCCGGGCTTGTTTCTGGTGCTATGGTTGTGTGTGCTGTTCTCACAATAATTAGTTGTCTCCAGTTAAGAACAGGCGCAGATCCAAAGCTCTGTCTGGACTCCTGGGTATAATGATGGGACCTGGAAGGAGCCAAGATGGCTTTCCACTGGCAGAGTGCCCCCTGGGACCTGCCTGCACTGATGGACTTTGTTGCAGTCTGACCCCGTCTCGTTTCCCTTCTTTCGGCCCTTTAGGCCATGGCCTTGTCAGAGGGAGAATTGGGCCTTGAAGCCAGTTGTTTTTTGAGGTTTTCTGTTGCTTCTGCCAGTCAGAGGAACGGGCCAGCCCAGCATCACCACCTTCTGATGTGCCCTTGCCAGACCTGAGAGTCACTGGGAGTGGGGACCTGGAAGAGAACTTGGCAGCTTGTCAGTGTACACAGCTAAGGTCATTTCCATTATCCATTATTTTAGAGAATATTGTTGATTCCTTATCTCTGACTCTACAAGTCTGTAAAAACGTTGGATATTTAGCTGCTTGTGGTCTGCTGTCTGTCATAACCAGCTCATGCAGCATAGACCCAGCATTCACCCAATTATACCACAGGGTATGAGGGACACCAATAGATAGAATAATGGCTAACCCCAGCCATAATGGCTCACACTTACAATTCTAGCACTTAGGAGATAGGAGCAGAAAGATCGGATGGCATACACTTATAATTCTAGCACTTAGGAGATGGGAGCAGGAAGATCGGATGGTACACACTTATAATTCTAGCACTTAGGAGATGGGAGCAGGAAGATTGAATTTGAGGCCAACCTGGATTATATGAGAGTCTGTCTCAAAAAAACAAAACAAAAAAACAAAAAAAAAAAAAACAGCTAAATGCTGTTGCTCTTTACTAAGGCACTTATAGATTTGACCCTTTTTTTTTTTTTTTAGAGCCAACAGATAACATACAGTTACAGGATTTATAGTTATACAACCCCTTGACACTAGACATTGAGGTTGTTGGTAAAGGAAGATGCCAAGGGCTCTTCATATCAAGAATTCCTGGGCTGGAGAGATGGCTCAGAGGTTAAGAGCACTGACTACTCTTCCAGAAGTCCTGAGTTCAATTCCCAGCAGCCACATGGTGGTTTACAACCATCTATAGTAAGATCTGATGCCCTCTTCTTCAGTGTAAGGAAACATGCAGACAGAATACTGTATACATAACAAATAAATTTTTAAAAAAAAAGGAATTCCCTCCCTCTTTCATCTTACTATGTCGTCCAGGCTGGCCTTGAACTTGTGATCATCCTGCTTCAGCCAACAGAGTACTTGGATTGCAGATATTCACCATAACACTTGGCTTATTTCTCAAATCCAGCTTCTATTTTCATCAGTATATATCTGATTTTTTTAAAGTTTTTTTTATGTGTATGAGTGTTTTGCTTCTGTGTATATACATATAACATGTACATGCTGTGTCCACATGAGGACCAGAAGAGGGTGTCAGATTCCCCTGGAACTGGAGTTAGAGACAATCTTATGCTACCATGTAGTGTTGGGAACTGAACCCACATTCTCTGTAAGATCAGCAAGTGCTCAGAGGTTCAGTGCACTTGCTGATCTTACAGTTTTGTGTTTGAGACAGGTCATTTCTCATGGGCCAGCTTTACTGTGTAGCTGAGGATGACTGTGAACTTTGGTCTGCATCTCAAATGCTGGCATTACAGGCGTGTGTCACTATGCCCCGTTTATATGAGCTGGGAATTGAACCTGTGGCTTCCACTGTAGCAACTGAGCTAGACCTGATCCCAGGTCCTCGAGTGCTCTTTTAATCTTAAGACTCAGACTTGTAGTTTAGGGATAGGGTAGGCAAAAGGGAGATAGAGGTGGTTATAAAAGGGCTCTTTTTCAGAAGTTCTACATCTTGACATAAAATAAATACACCTTGAAAAAAAAAAGACAGGCCTTGCTCCATTGCCTTGGTTAACCACCCGCTTGTTACCTTGCCCATGCTAGACTAGCCTTGAACTCCTCTATTTTCAAAGGTGTTGCTGTAAGAGCCTGCAGTGTGTAGGGCTCCCCTGCACCCAGGCCTACCCAAGCACTGCACTGGAAATAGACACACAGATGCCCAGGGAGAGAAGCCAGAGAGCAGAGCCTAGGTAGGGCTCACTGAGCAAGCCAGGCAGAGTGACCCAGGCTGGGGATCCTTGCACTTTGGAGGCTGGGGCAGGATTCCACAAGTTGGAGGGCAGCCTGTTCTAGGTAGCAAGTTCCAAGCCACCATAGGGCTACATAGTGAGAGCCTATATAAAATAAAAATAAATAAGTAAACACCCCTGGAGCTGCCAGACACCTGTGGGAAACTAGAGCTTAGCACACCCTGTCTGCCCTGCAGCTCTGATGGTTGGGCAGGACCGAGGATGATGTTCTAATCTGGGACAAAGCCGAGGGCCTTTTTACAGGTGAGTAGGAACTCGGGACACAGCTCTGTCAGTCTGCAACCCCACCCACCTCCCACTGCTCTCCCAAAGGCCCACACAGACACAGGCCCTCTGATCTGCCAGATGCTCGGGTCTGACTTCCCTCCCTAGACTCAGACCTTTTGGTAATAGTCTGGGTCCCTTGGGACAGGGCTGTCCCCTGTGAGGTGAAGAGGCCCCTCAGAGTCATCCCAGGGTCTGCTGGAGGTCGAATGTCCCCTTT